TTGCTTTCTGTGCAACACGCTTAAATAGAACCGCTTATGGAAGCGTTTTGCCCCCTGATTTTCCTGCTTTGGTGGAGGGGGGAGCTTGAAATTATCGAAATGCCAGTGTGAATGCTTTCCAGCAGGAAGGGTTCTGCTTTTTCGTTTTAGATGAGTGTTACTTTAAACCCAACTAATTTATTATACAGTTTTTTGTTTTCAGCTTTTTATCTGTATACCTTTTGAGAACCAACAATTTGTCTTCCCTTATTTGGTTTGGGAAACTTTAAAAATTTTCACTCTGCACTCTGTCTTAGATGAGAAAAACTTCTTTTATTGTAACTTATTATGGGACCAGGAAAAATGTTTTCTCTTAACATCCACTGAAAGAGGGTATTACTACCACGGCTTTGCAAGTGAGAGAGTTCTTGATTACAAAATCTAAAACTAAGTTTTTTTTGGAGGAGGGACCGTCTTTTGCTTGGTGCCTGTAGCATAGCGGGTACTTCAGAGCTGCTCTTAGGAGTTTTAAGTGCTGTGGCAATGCTGCTACCAGAAAACACTGTGTTTGCCCATTCCTCCTCTGTGGTAGCTCACTGTAAGTGTGTGCTGTCACTGAGCATGGTAGTACACTGCGAGTATCCTAAATTTGTCTCGTCCTTAGTACAGTTTGCGAGCATTAGCGCCAGCACAAAGTTATGGAGTGGAGAAAAGACGGCAGGACCACTCCTTTCACTAGCAACCCCTAATTAGATTGGTATAAAGCAACATTGAGAACAAAGCCTTGGTGGCTTGCTGATGGCTGTACAGAAAATCTGCGCCAGAGTGGAGAATGGATCCTGGCCCTACGGGCTCACAACTGGATTGTTGCTGTTCTTTGTCCAAGCGGGACTCCTGCTGTGCACAGCCTCCTTTCTTCCCTTTTCCATCTTCGTAAATGACGATAGCAGAGCTGGTTGGCTCCCCTTGGAGGCTTGAAACAACTCAAATTCCATTAAGGTCAAGTGACCTCTAGGAGACAAGTGTTAAGTGTTGGGCCCTTCCTGTATCCCAATGGAACATGTGGTCTGCTACTCGGTGTTGGATGTTCTCACAGCCTTTCCCTTTTTCTCTAGGCTCGGATGGAGGTAGATGCTGATGGAAATGGTGCTAAAATATTTGCTTACGCTTTTGACAAAAATCGTGGAAGGGGATCTGGCCGTCTGCTGCATGAGCTGCTTTGGTAGGTATCGTAAGGAGAGCTAAAACTTTAAGGGTTCACTTAAAGGTGGAGTTTGCTGCCAGCAACTTGTGTGTTGTTTATTGCTCTGCTTGTAGTATTTTAAGTTCTCAGGTGGCTTGCAGCTACACTCGCTTGGAAACCCAGCACAGGGGGTGCCCATAGATCTTACTACGGTTTGGTTTTGCACTGAGCCTTCAAACAGCTGAGTCCCTGTAAAAAAGTTATTCCCAGGGAAAACAGTGATAGGTGAGGAATATTCTAGTAGAGACTTTAAATCTGAGAAATGCTACTAAAACTTCATTCAGTTCAGAGGTGGGGGAACCGGGAACTAGCTCCATTTAACAGGTGAAGACTAACCTTTTGAGTTTTTTTGGGTTTTGTTTTTTTTTTTTTGTCCTGTGGTAGTCAGGTATGTCTTATTGGCACCAGTGAGAACTGGCAGAGCACTGGAGAGAGATAGAACCTCTCGTAACTTAAAACTTTGGGGGTTTTTTTTGTTTGGCCTTCTGGAAAGCTGCCTGAAGTGATGCTGATGATGCTTCATATCAGCTGCTACATCTTATTTTCCATATTCTAAGAATCATTGCTTGATATCCTTTGTAGCTGCCAGTTTAGATTCAGAGGCCAACTTGCTTGCTTGTGAGAAATTAGTTCATCTGGTGAACTAATACATTGCTCTCTCTAGATATGTTCATGGGTTTGTAGAAAGGACGGGGTATGCTGAAGAGAACTGTTATTTCTTTTAAAAGCCTTTTTCAAGAAATTAAGCATGTTTTCTGTTCAGTTCCATAAACTATACTTAGAAGTCATAGTGCCCAAGATATAGCTCTGCTTTCTTTATTGTTCCAGGTTACTTCTTATTCCCCAAACTTAGTCCCTGTACAAGAGGAGGGAGACAGGAAGAATATCAGAGACTATTATTATTATTTACAATCTGCTCATTAAATATGGATTTTAACCTGCATCTGTTAATGTTTAATCTTGTTGCACATATAACTTTGAAAATTATTACAAAGTCGGCTACAGTATATGGGGTAAATCACTGTGAGCTACTAACTGTGAACCTCATACAGTAATAATTGTCACCTGTAAGTAGCACTAAACAGCACCTTAAAATTATTCCAGCTGACTGTTGAAGGCTGTGTAGATGATGACAGTCCAGCTGTTTGCTTATTACACAGCCCAGTCCTTGCCTCTTCTCGTTCATTTTACTTAAATTAGGAAATAATTCTAACATACTCAGTTACGTAATTCAAATTGTGTCACTCTAGCATGCACTGGTGTTAAAAATTCGGAGATTGTGTGTGTAATAGGGATTTTTGAAAGTCACAAAGGCAGGGCGTAAACTGTCAGGCAAGCAGAGCTGCGGTTCTGAAATTGCAAAGTCAAATTCTTCGACTAGAAATTTTCAGCTGTTTCTGTAAATTCAGTTTGATCCCTTTGAGGGTGTAAATTTTGCTGTGATCTTTAATTACAAGCTAACACAATGCAGGTTAGTATACCTTTGTGACTGAGTTTCTTAACATCTTTAGAAAGTCTCTTGGCTACAGGTGCTATGTAGTTACTGCTCCTCCTAAAAAGAATAGGCACGTTGTTCAGTTTTACTTACCTGCACTGGGGACTGCTTTGAAAACAAAACAGAAATGTATTTTAGTGGCAGGTCCTGAAGGTTTTGGAGCCTTTGAAAGACAGGAGATGGGCAGTAGCAGTCATTACTCTTTCCAGTGCCAGCCTTACTTCTTGGGTGAATTAAAAGCAAAGAACTTGAATTACTGCAGGTGCAGGAGTGTAACTTAACTGTTCTCCCTCAAACATACTCCAAAAAATCAGTGCACTCTGAAAAAACCAACCTGACTGTGTGCTTCTGGTTTAAGATGAAGTGAGTAGGCATGTGTTGGATACTGTTTCCAGTAAAGCAGATTTTAAAATGTTTTAATTTTTTTGGTTTTTTTTAATTTTGTTAAGCAGGTATCATTGTTCACGTAGTACAGCCCTCAAAATAGGAAGCTGGTAGCTACCAAAGCTGCGGCAATGACAGGGACCTTCTCCCACTCTTCCCCCAAAGCCCTCTTTCTGACCTCTGCAGATAGTGAACTGCGGTACTAAATGGGAACCAAGATCTGAAAAATACCCACATCTGCTGCAGATATTCTTTCTGGAAGAACTTCATGCAGCCTCTCTTGTGCTTGCTGTGTTTTCAGGATGGACTCTTAGCTCCTCCAAAGCAGGATTTGAATGTCTCTGGCTAGGGACCTGCAGAATAAGTCTGTTGTCTTCTCGCCCTGTTCCCTGTATAGAAATCCCAGCTTGCTGTATTTTGGCTGGGTGTAGTGATGTTCCCTGGGGAACAGCAGCATCAGGAGATTAGTCATAAGTCACTAACTGTGTGTTCAAAAAGACATAAGACCCAATTTCCATTTTTTTTTTTTTTTTTTGAGCACTTATCATACTGCCTATAATCTACTCAGTTATGGCTCCTGTTGACTTGAATTGCTGTTGTCTGTGCTTGGTGCTTATTATGGGCCTTACTTCTCAAGTTAGCTGCTAAAATAAAAAAAGAACAGTATCCAGTTAATTCTCTGAAAAATTTTGGTTTCAGTGTTTTGCCTGGCATCTTGCATGAGCTCAGGTGTGGTGGTAGAGGTAGAAGCTACAGCTCTGCAGGAGAGTTGGCTGCATTAGCAAGGCTGTTTCTTCCATGAAACCTGTCCTTCACTGCACATTTCTGATTCACTTCTGGAGATGGTCCATGCTGCGCACTTTTGAAGCGTAGGTCTAGGGAGAGGAGTAGTGCGTGCTTGTGCATTCAAAGGTTGCTTGAGGTGTATGGAGAAAAGGGACCATCCTGAATTTGCCAATAGTAATTCTGGCATCTCAGTCGAGTGGTACTATTAACGCTTTCACTGGTCATTAGCCAGCCCCAATTTCCATGCTTACTTTAAGACCTTTGTCACTTGAGGTAATAGAAAAACCGACAGCAATGTAGACGAATGTGGGTTTTTACAAAGTGAGGAAGACAGGTTCACTGTGCTAGTAAATTTTACCCATATTTGCTTATGGGGGTTGTGGGTGCAGAGCTAGACTTCGTAGGAGCAGGGGTAGGCATGTGCTACTCTGCTGTGACTTCCTGGTGTCATGGGCAATCTCTTGTAATTCTCTCTCTTCCCCAACTCCAACCTTTCTTAAACTCTCATTATCTAATCCATTTAAGAAATATTTCTTAACTTGGTCTTAGACTCCCCTCCTCCCTTTCCCCTCCTGCACAGTTTGCTCTTGCTCTGAACTTCTGTCTCCTCCTACCAGATTCCTCGTTCATATCTATCCCATCTCTCTTGTTGGCGCTTTGTCCTAGTCTCAGTCTAAGAACCTTAACTCCTTCCCTGTCTCTGTGTCTGTCTGTGATGTTCACCTTCATCCTTTTGTGTCCGTGTGCCTCCTGGGTTCCCACTTGTAGCCCTCACGGTTCCTGATTTCCTTTGCCAGACCCTCTGGTAGCCTTCAACAACTCAAAAGTAGCTTTTCCTCCTTTAGGGCCCCTTTCAGCAGACTCCTTTCCATAGTTTGTTTGCTTGTGTGTGTGTGTGTTTTTTGTTTTTTTCTTCCTTCCCCCAAAGAAGGATTTTATTCTTTTTACCTTCAAAGGGGAGAGCTTCCCCCTGTTCTGTGGAGGCCCAAAAGACTCCCTAAGCTCTGTTCTCGTGCAGGGCTGCTGGTACAGGAAGAATTGCTTTGCCTATGAACTAGAGCATGGGCTGTGTGTGAGTGCTGCGTGTAGTGTCTCCAAGGGAATTTTACTCATTAAATTCTAGGAAGTTTTGGGGCATATGTGAATTGCAAGTGTTTTCCTTTCCCCCAAGGTATATAATGTAACTGTATCTGGATGGATTTTGACAAAAGACTACATTTTTCATTGTCAGTCACATCTAAATAAATTTTCCTGTTTTGCTGGAAAATGGTAGAGCTTTTTAAAGGGGGGGAGGGGGAATTGGGAATTTTTTAACTTGGGAAAATCGTATCTCTTCAAAATTGGATGAGCCATTTAAATTGAAATATTCAGTAAATGCTGAGCAGGAAGCAGCATGCAAACTAGACTTGGGTAAAGTTGTAAGTAGCTGTTGGAATGGTCTCCTAGAAGGATATGCTGGGTAACCCTCAGATAGCGCTGTCAGTTTTACATTGTCCTTGGTTGCTGCCAGTATGTTCTCTCCATGCTGTGAAATTAATCACGGTGTAGCAAATGTACCAAGACACAATTTCTGTCCAAGCCTTACTTTTCAGGTGAGAAAGGGATTCCTGCAAGAAGTGGTACAGAAACTTGTCCAGGCATAAGGGTGCTTGACAGCGAACTTGATACTTCTTGAAACAGAGAAAGGAGAGATAAAAAGAAGGTGGAATGGGAAATTAAAACTGTTAGAAGGCAACAGGGAAGAATCGCAACAGGACTTAATGTGCAGCCATCCTTGCTAATAGTCCTCCTTTGGTTTTGAGCAACTTTCAGATGTCTCTTGGTCAATTGTGGAGTCATTGCAGACTTTGTCTTATGCACAATTAGAGTCTAAAAAGCATTTGCATAGTTGGTGAAACCTCTGTCCTGTTGCTTGTTAAGAGACATTTCTTCATACCTAACAAACTCTGTGACTTCACACCTGTGCCAAACTTGCATAAATGTGCTGGATAGAATTTCCCATTAAAAAAATAAAGCAGTATTGACACCTTTCAAGTCTGCTCTGTGGAACACAATAATTGCATAGATGCTCTTGCAGTAACTGCACTAGTAGTCTCTGGAACTTTCTTTGCAATATGCTTACAATTATAATATACCATGGTTGTCTTTTGATTCAACTCTTTTATTATGAAAATAACATCCTAGAACAAGTCTCTTCCTTCTCAGAGTTGATATTCTGCAGTAGCCACTGTACTCTGTTGGCAACCCAAGTTTTACTGCGACTGTTCAGTGACACCAGACAGCAGGCTGCAGCGTTTCTTCTGGAATTAGTGTGATTCTTTGCTTTTTAGCTATGGAGTCTTGTTCACCACTGACCTACAAGCTGTTTTTGTCTCATCCAGGGAGAGACACCGGGGAGGGATTGCTCCTGGATTTCAGGTGGTACATCTGAATTCGGTGACAGTGGACAACCGCCTAGACAATCTGCGCCTAGTTCCTTGGGGGTGGAAACCCAAAGCTGAAGAAATCTCTAGTAAACAAAGGTACGTCAATATTTGGCAGGGGGTTGCCATCAAAAAAAATTGAGAATATAGTAAATTGTTGTCTCCTTCCTTTAGTGATTTTCTTCTTGGCAGAGCCTTTTTTTATTTGACCTTGGGCTACCGACACATCACTATGAGTCTTAGCTTCCTCACCTGGGGAACAGAGTTAATACTCACTGCACATGGTAGCTGTGAAGGGGCCATCTAGCCCCATGGTATTCTTATGTAGCATCCTGCTGTGCCAGATGTTGTCACCGCAGTGAAACGGGAAGCCTGCATTCCCTTCCACTTGAGTGATGGCATCTGGGCATGCTGAATTAAGTCTGCAGATTTTACTGGCTTGTGGCTCTCGTCCTCAGGCACCAAAATTTTAACACAATCTGTAGAAGTCAGCAGCTGCAAAATGCTTACACTTGTAATCGTGTATTTGGGTTGAAACCAAATGAGTTCCTGGGATCAGCTTCCATTGCCTTTTCACTAGTAGGTTGTGGGAACTTCCTACATGCCATGTTGCGCTAATGCTACTCAAAGCACATCAAACTGTTAATGCCAGGATGGATTTCGTTAATCTATGATGTAACGAAGGCATGTTCATTTTTGGTGGGAGACCTGTAGACTTAACATCACACTGGACGCTTCTCTTGAAACACTTGAAGCACCCGTAAGATAGGGATGTTCAGAGCTTATTAAACTGATTTTGAGAAGATGTAGTGAGTGGCAATGATGCTACAGTGATGCTTCCAATGATTCTGGGACTTCAAGAACAAGAAACAAACTTCAAGCCATTTACACAGAAATAATTTGCTTGATAGAAGTGTTTCTTGATAGATACTTTCTTATGGTTTTTTCATTTAGGCTAAAATAATGCTAAAAATATCCAATAGATGAGTATGTGTAGTCTGAGGCTTAACAGGCTAAATACAATGTTAACCCTACTTACTTTATTAATTAATTTGGAATCGGTTTCCCTGTATGCTTATTATGAATTTATGGACCAAATCTGTACCTGTTTTTTACAGGGAACAAAGTCTGTATTGGCTGGCAATCCAACAGCTTCCTACAGATCCTATAGAAGAGCAGTTTCCTGTACTGAATGTAACACGATATTACAACGCTAATGGGGATGTTGTGGAGGAGGAAGAGAACTCATGCACATATTATGAATGTCACTACCCCCCATGCACAATGATTGAAAAACAGGTGTGTTCAAAAGAGTTGAAAGTAAGCATGTAATGACTAAGGCTACCGTGTGTGTCCAGGGATTTGTTTCTTAAAATGTAAAGTTTTAAGTGTGCCATTCAGTTGCTAAAAGCAATAATTCTTTTTAACTTGGGTTTTCTTTGGCATGAATCACTATGATAATTTTCTGTTTGAGAGAATGTAATTTTGGATTGGAACAGTAAATGACCTAGCGGTTTACTGGGAGGAGTGTGATTTCTGCAGAGTGTACGAAAAGACAGGTGGACACATTCCTCTTGGGACCCAGAGCTGGAATGACCAAGCAGCTGTATAAGACAAGAGAAAGATTGTAAGAGGTTTTGGGCAGTAGTGAAATAAAAAAATAACATGCTTAACCTTTCATGAGAAGAGGGTGAATGTGAGTGGCCGTTATTCAGGGGAGAACTGGGAGGAAAGCTAGTTCTAGTCCTTCGCTGTAGGTAGATGAAACGAAGCAATATATATAGTGAGAGAATGGCAGAGAATTAGATGTCCAAGTGCTGTGCCTCTTTGTCAGACAGATGTCCTTATCTATGAATAAGAAGGGCTTTTCTTGTGATAACAAATGCCGAGTAGGCTAAAATCTTTGTGTTTCACTTTTTTCTTTGCGAAAGGGAACGTTAGCAAGAATTGTCTTAAATGCCCTCTATTTGAAAAAGGGTGAGCTTTGCCTTTTATTTGGGTCTGCATACGAAAGCTTCCTGGATAACTGTAGGTTTGGCAATGGCTGAGCTTGTGCAGCCCTCCTAATCATTTCTGAATTTAAGATGTTTGTAGTTGAAAACAGAACTTAAGTGGACAAAAAGGTAGCACTGTGAGAACAAATGTAAAGCACTCAAATATTTTGTCTCTTAAGCCCATTCTGCAAGACCAGCTGTGAAATCAAACAAATGCAATCGCTTCAAAAGTCTTTTACCCCTCTGACAGTCATGGTGGGATGGTCATGTTTGCGATGGATGCAGACCTACTTGGGAAATGATGTAGGGGTGCTCCTTAGTACTGAACAGGCTCACTAACGCTGTCTTGTGTTCTTCCTAGTTACGTGAATTCAATATTTGTGGCCGATGCCAGGTAGCAAGGTACTGTGGGTCACAATGCCAGCAAAAAGACTGGCCTGCTCACAAGAAACACTGTCGGGAGAAGAAACGGACCTTCCAGCAAGAGCTCGGACCAGAACGATGACTGGGTGGCACAGGCCTCTTAGCAGCAGGATTCCTTCTCAAAGGCATTGGACTCTTGCTTTTGCACAGTAATGACAGACTGCTTATTGAAGCCAGAGGCACTGAAGAAGAAAAACCCTGTGATGCTTGAGCAGAACGGCTGACTGAACTAAGCCAGCTCTGACTGGTGCTGTGGAAAGGGATTGGGTCTACCCTTCCAGTATTATATTCTCAAGCAAAAAGACTACTGTGGAGGCTCCAGGCAGGAAGCTTCTCGTTATTTATATGTTAATACGTTTGTAAACTCATGTACAGTTTTTGTTAGAAATTCTTGATAGGACTCATTAACTGTAATGTTCAGATGAGAACACGTTGTTGGCCTAAAAGTTTAAAAAAAAAAAAAAAAAAAGTCATGTAGCAAAAGCTTTTCCTCCCATGTGGCTAGAAGTATCTGTGGCAGTGCCAAGGCCGGAAGGCAGGCTCCAGCATCAGCAGGTACTCTGGAGAACTCTGCATGGAGGTTATATTTAAAAAAAAAAAAAGGGGGGGGTGGGGGTGCAAACAAAGTAAAGGTTGGAATGAATCATTGTCTACTACTCTCTAGCTTTCTCCCATTCCCTTCCAGCTGCTTTCAGAGCACAGTCACACTTGGATGTTGGAAATACCTACTCAGTAGGAACCAATGCACCAGAAACTGGAGTGGGGTGTAGGGGACCATCTGGGATCTGTGCATACAGGCAAGCTATAGTATGTCACTGCCTTCAGAGAAGGGCTGCTGGAGATCGTGCTTTAAGCAACCAGTATTTTTAGAAGGCTGGATTAGCCGCCTTGTTATGAAACCTTTGTATATAAAGTAGTTGTAGGAAAGCTCAGGTAGTCAGCTGTGTGTGGATGTGGTTGCCCTCGTGGCTTCCCCCGTAAGCATAGCAAATACTATAGTGACGTGCAGATATGTTTAAATGATCTAATATTTGGTAATTTGAGTTATTTATTCTTTTTTTTAAAGAGATGCCATCAATCCAAGAATCACTTTTTGATTTTTTTTTTAATGTAGTAATGAGTAAAAATAATATGGGAGGAGGATTTGACTTGCAGAGTACACGCCTGTTTTTCTTTTCAGACATTTTGTCATACATAATCTGAAAGTTTTTTCTTTTTCATTTTTGCCTTAGAAATATAAGGAATATCAACTGAGTTTCCTGAAGAACTAAATGGATAATTTAGTGTCAGGTGTTAGCCTTGCTTCACAGTAGAAGAATGTGAGCTGCTGAATGCTTAATGCAGAGCCTTTCTCAAAGTGCTTAGTGAAATAGGTATTTAATTTTTTTTTGGTAAAAGCTGTGAAGAATTTTAATTTTTCAATCAGGATTCACTTTGCCACTTCATGTTGCAATGTTGGTCTTGCTTGTATTCAATCTGTCAGAAAAATTGAACTGCTGTGGACTTCCAATATTATATTACATTTCAAATATCTGCACAGGAAGTTCTTAATTATTAGTATTTGGGTGGGTTTTCATACTTTAGCTTGAAGCATCTTAGGAAATAACAAAGAACTTCGGAAGCTTCCTGCTGGAAGTTCACTTGGTAGGCACATTGTCAAGTTGCAACTCAATTCATGGATATACTGTAACTTTCTGTTTAGGCAGCCTAAAATGCCCTTAAGTATGAAGAAGTCAAGCAGGACCTAATCAAATTTTCCTGTAATGGGTGATTTTTTTTTTTGTAAGGAAACATTCAATTATTTGCTTTAAATGAACGGCACAGTTTTTGATGAATGTAAAATGGGACATAAGGAGTATTTTTTGTATTTGAGGTAATCGATTGAGAAGGGCAGAAGTACTGACTGTTTTTTTTTTTTTCTTGCCTTTTTAAAAGGCTGCTATTTGTCATGCCAGTTTTCCATTGTGTTATCAGTAATCATGTTTAGCAAACTGAAGTGCAGTCTTAGAGCGTTTAAACACTTCTGCAGCACTGAGCAGGGAAAATGGTTAGTCCTAATGTTTGTAATGTTGCTGCAATAAGAAACGAGGACAAAGATAGACTGCAGATGAAGTCCTGATGGGGCAACAGGTAGATTGCTCTTGAGCAGCAGATGAAGGGAATGAAGGAAGGGTAAGACTCAAGCTAAAGAGTCTGCAAAACTAGGGTGGTGGGTGCTTAGGGCAATCTTGATCCCAGTGAATGTGGAAGGGAGGGGGATGGGAGGATGGGGTGAAGCAGGCAGGGAGGGAAGATGCCCACTATGTCAGAGGTCTGTCAGACCATCAACTGAATGAAAAGTAGCAAGTTGCCTGGACATCCCAAAAGGGCTTGGTGAAATAACACAGGTTCCAATTTCAGTGTGTAACCTTGTACCAGAGGAGGGAATTGGCTACAGGGATTTTGACTCTTAAAAAGGTCCTGGGGACTGCAGTAACCATGTCACTGCCTGCAGAACAGTTTTTCCTGATTGGTGTGGGAAGTTGTGTGATCAACAATTCTGGCAGAAGATCTTTGTAATTTACAGAGATCTTCCCTTTTTGTAAGGTGTGTCACAAAGGAACCAGTTACACTTGAACATGGCAGCTCCACTTCATATAGCCAATATGGTTTTTCAGAGGATGAGGCTCATAAAGGACCTTCTTTCCCCTCTTCAAGAAACCAGGCCGACATGGATATCCTCATATGGGCAAGTATTTAAAAAGCACAGGGTTAGAGTACATGGTCACTTACCTTGGAAGGAGGCCTGTTCAGTACTGGTAAATGAGCTGCCATTTCAGGGACTTACCCTGATGGAGATAATCTTCATCTAAGATGCTTCCTCCAGGTAAAAAGAACTGCATCTGTATCTTTTATTCCTTGGTTCTCTGAAGCATGGAGTACTCTCTGTACACACCCCTCATTCACCTGTGGACTGAAACAAGGCTTAATGATATTTGAGCCTTTAACGCACCCACAAGATTATACTTCCAAGTTTTCCTCTGTGGTGGCGATTTAATTTTAAATGAAACTGGTGAAGGTAAAAGGGACAGCTAGGAGACTTAAATGCTTGCAGGTGGCATGGAGACAGTGTAAGACACCACATTTGGGACAGGAGCAAGTATTTACCACCCATCAAAACAGGTTTGAGAGGATGAAAAGAGGTTGGTGTGATTAAACAGCACTGTGTGGGTTGCTTGTAGAGTAAGAGAAAATCCTTTATGAACTGAACTTGTGTCCAAATGTAAAAGATGAAAGAATAAGATTTGGCAGGTGAAATGTGAAAAAAAGCAAACAGAAAAAAACAAACCCCAAAATCATGCAAAGGAAAATGGAATATGAAGAACATTCAAGTCATAAAACTGGCACAAATTTGAAAAAATCAGGAGCAGGGAGACTGCCAGAGTCAGCAGATGTGATGCACAGTAAAAGGAAGGTCTGACCTGAGGATAAAGTCCCAGCGGGGGGGGGGGGGGGGGGGAAGAGTTGTTTGCTGTGAAAGAGCTAGGGGGGTTCATACAGGAATACTTCCACATGGGGAGCTCAACAGAGAATCTGTTTAGAACTGAAGTGCTTTTAGGAGAGATTAAAGTTCAGATGAAATGAGCAGTAACAAGTTGCCAGGACGGTGCCACCTATGGCTTCTAAGGGAGCTCAGGGATGAATAAACCTAGCTATGAGCTGGGATAGTAATCCCTCCCTCAGTACCCATGGCAAATGTGACAACAGCTTCTGAAATGAGTCTCAGGGCAGATGTGGCAAACTACAGCCAGGTGAACGCAGCACTTGCACTTAACAAATTGATAGATGCTATGATGCAGCATCAGTGGGTAAATTTTGGGGAAGAGTCAATACAGTTTTTGTACAGGGATGTCATGCTTCAAAACTATTGGAATTGTTCTAATGGCATCAACAAGCAGGGGATAAAGGGGATTTTGTTGGTAGTCTGCTTGAAGTTCCAAAATGCACTTGATCATGACTTTGCTCAAGGTGCTTAAGGAAGAAAAGCTGCTATGGGAAAAGGGGGGATGTCAACACATGGACAAACAACAGTTTAAAATACAAAAAATGGAAGAGTTGGAGTTTTTTTGGGGGTGGAGGGAAGTCAACAGTTGGCTAGCCAATATGTGAAATAATTGGGAAGAAGTAATGAATTGGGAAGGTGATAACATCCACTGGTGAGGTTATTCAGTGTAATAATAATATAAGGCTGAGTGAAGAATTGCAGGAGGATCTTATGAGACAGACTGGTAGATGGAATTTGGTGTCAATAAACATAGTGTTGCTTGTGGGAAAACATCAGAAGATGAGCCCTTCGCTGACTAGTTTCATTCGGCAATGAGACATTTTGGTTGTGAAACAATCGTGCAGAAATTTCTGCTTAGGGAACAGCAGCACACCAGGCTCAAGGAAAGGAGGGGAGAGCAGAGACCAGCTCCACGGCATAAATGGGCTGTGTGCTGCGTCCCGAGTGCGCAGTTCTCACCCTCCCGTCTTGGAAAGGACTGGGAGGAAAGGGGACTGTTCAGGGCAGGGAACGGGATCCCTCCGTGGTCCAGAACAGCTTCTGCGAAGGCACAGCTACATCAACCACGTCTACTCTGGAAGAGGGCTGAGTGACAGGGATATGAGGAAGGTCTTTAAGAGTGGCAGAGGGAGGATGCCAAGGGAATACTGATGCCGATTTTCTCTCTAATGAGCAGCTGCTGGTTAAAACTGAGCAGCAGTCCTTCACCTGCCACGCGTTTGAGCTGCAGAGCCCTTTCCTCGGGACGTGGCGGGCGCTAGACGACTGCCTGGAAG